ACCAGTAAGTTCAGCCCTTTGTGGAATGGTGTTTCTTCACACCTACAAGTGTGCCCCATGTAGAGAGAAGGCTGGGTCCCCAGAGGATGAGGAACGTTCCTTTGCTTTTCAGGTTTACGGGAGGAGGAGGTCTTGGGGAGGCCTGAGCCAAAGCATGCGTGGGACAAAAGACAGAGATTCAGGCCTATGGCTCAGGGTAACACCATCCAGCCACACCACTAGATTGTGTGGGCAGGGGTAGGCCTAAGAGTTAGTGCTGTCATGGTTCCATTTCAGTTTTTATCAGCTGGATGCAGATGAGGTGTCAGTGTCACAGAATTAAATGTTTTTGCTCAGATCCTTGGCTAGCTGATGCTTTTCCATGATTTCCGACAGTTATTTTTATTCGATAATGAATAATAAAGTGAGATTTACCGTCTCCATCTGACAGCATTTGTTTTATTTTGACAGTTCTTTTCTAGACAGCAAAGTGTTTATAATTAGGTTTTGTGTCTGCCAAAATGTTGCTGGAAAAAAAAGAGAGAGAGAAGCTATTTCTCTGGGAAAAAAGTCTCACAGTTTCCAGCCTGTAGAGCTGGAATCATCTTATTTTGATCTGGAAGCTTGTGCCTAGGTCAGTCAGAAAACGAAACCACACTTTCTCTTGAAAATGAATTCTTAACAAGAGAAAATTAACTCTGACCGTGTAGAGGATTAGGAGGGAAAATTAGAAGTATGTTTGAAATGCGGCGTTCCCTTGTAAAAATCGTTATGTGAACGAATGCTCACATTAGGAGCTCCCTTTTCTGCTTTTCTATCAGAGCATATGCATTCTTGTTGTGTGGAGGTGCCACTCCCAGGGGGCGCCGCGCTTCCCTCGTCTGTGGCGCATCTGCAGTTGGCTTTATGGCTGAAGGCACAGGTGGAAGTCACAGATGTGTTGATTGACAGTACCTTCCTCTTAGAGCAGTCTGGAGAAACCCATAGAGGAAGCCATGTCGCCAACTGGTGCTAGGCAAGCTTATCATTGCTAATGGCAGAAACATCGCGGTGAGCTAATCACAGAAGCAGTCCCCTTGCTGCCTTGGCCTCCTGCCTCTTGATGTGTGGAGACTATTCAATTCGAGCCATAGCAGCAGCGGCCAGATTCGAATTACAGCCCAGGGTGTTTTCCTCTCTGACTCACTCCATGGAACTGGGATCAGATTCCAGACACAGCTGCCATCGGCTACACCACCTCTGGTCTCCACCAATGCTATCGTCCAGTGTTTCCACGGAGCACAAGCAAGTTTGTGGAACCAACTTGCATTCACTGGTATTTCAAAGAACTGTGTCCGCTTGCTTAGAAAAGAGACAGCAGGTGTTGTCTGTGGCACTGTGCCACTTTGGTTTACAGCAGCGTAGATACGAGAGGGAAACAGGAGCTGTGTTAGCCCAGCCACTCATGGCGTCAGGTTGTGTGCATCCCCTTCTAGTGCTTTTATCTTTTGAGCTCATCATCTCCCCCTTCCCTTTCCTCTCTCCAAACCTTTCCATATGCCCCTCCTTGCTCTTTTTCAAATTCAGAGCTTCTGTTTTTCATTTGGTGTGTGTGTGTGTGTGTTCCTAAATACGTAAATAACCTGTTCAGTCTGTATAGTGTTCCTTGTGTGTATGTTTCAGGGCTGGCCACGGGTATTGGACAACCAATTGATACACTCTTCCCTGAAGACTATTTTTCCCACTCTCTGCACTCCTCAGCTTCCAGGGCATTTTTGAGCGCATGAAGGGTCCCCTCTTTGAAGTGTGACTCTATTGGCTATGGGGGTCTGCTACTCTGTGAGTACTGGAAGCCATGTGACATGGAATGTGTACTTCATAAACTTGTGTGATTGCGTAGACCTTGAGTTTGGGGTGGGGAGAAAGTGCAATATGGGATGCATAGAGAGATGACTCCATTGTTCAGAGCCTTTACAGCTCTTTTGGAGGACTGGGGTTTGGTTCTGGGAACCCATGTAGCAGCTACCAATCATTTGTAACCCAGCCCCGGGGAACCAATGCCTTCTTCTGGCACCTGAACACATGTGCACATAAACTCACAGAAGAGCACACACATACATATACTAATTTTAATCGTAAAAATAGATGCAATAGAGTTTGACGAAAGGGTCTTGTATGTCTTTGATATCAAATGTTGAGATCCATTGTCACCCAGGCGCATGCTGAGGAGGTGTTTCCTTCATCTAACCTAACCCAAGACCCTTCTGCATGAAGCAGGAGAAGGAACCAAACGTCTATGTGTCACTGACTCCATGAGAACCTTCCATGGCGGTGGAGCCTTGAACGTCTTCCCCCAGTACCAGTAAAAGGCTTCCCCCAGAAGTGACTTCCCTCCTGCTGTCTCACGGGAAGAGTGTGTTCGCTCTTGGCTGGTGCTTGCGGCTTTCTCGGGGAGATGAAGCTTTTTTATAAGCCCACACTGCACTAGGAAGGCCCGGGGCTGCAGGGCAGTGGCCTGGGGATCAGACAGACCTCATTTCAGTCCTTCCTTTTCCATTCTCAACTGCTTTCAGACTCTTCCTCTTCCAATAACGAGACCATTGCAGTCAGACTGTTGGAGTGACTGTGACATGAGGAGCAATGGCAGCCACTACTATCTATTAGCACTCGGGTGGCCTTAGAAGCCCTGACAAAAGAAATCATAAGTGATGTCTTATGAGGAAACTGAGGTAGCGTGCTGTTCATGGTCACCCTGCAAGTGAGCAGCTGGCGTTAGCTATCAGTTTTGTCTCTGTCCCATCTTAGACCTTAGGATCCTGGGAAATCCAAGTGGTGCCTGATGCAGAGTTAATGCTTGCTAGTTTTTGAGTCCTTGCTTCCCCTGTTTTTACTGCTTAGCCTTCCACGGTTTCAGTCAGCTATGGTCCACTATGGTCCACTGAAAATAATAAGTGAAAAATTCCAAAATAGATGAACTCCAAGTTTTAAATTGCACTTTTTTTCTGCATGTAGATGTCTAGTGCAATGAAGTCTACAATCCTGTCAGTGCCTCAATCATTCGTTCATGCAACATATGATGTGGAAGAAATATCACTGCTTTTTCTATTGTCCAAACTCAGTGTTTAACTCTGAGCCCTCACCTGGCTCATAAGATACTCAGTGTCTGTCATTTTTATCACTTCAAGCCTGTTTTCACCAATGTCCTTCACACCTCTGTCATCTTGGAGCAAAGCCTTCTCATCCTGGAATGGCATGCACTGGCGCTTCCTTACCTTGCCACCGTGTGAAGGAGGAAATGTTTCACTTTCCCACCCAACTGTGCTGTTTGCAGGCTTGGAGAAAGCATGAGTTCACACGTAATAAAAGGGCTCAGACCACAGAGAGAGGGCTGATAATTGAGATACCAGCTTCAGCGGTACAAGTTTTCTTGCAAGATGAACTCTCTCTCTCTCTCTCTCTCTCTCTCTCTCTCTCTCTCTCTCTCTCTCTCTCTCTCTCTCTCTCTCTTTCAAGAGGGTTTCTCTGTGTAGCCTTGGCTATCCTGGTACTTCCTCTGTAGACCAGGTTGGCTAGAACTCAGAGTGCCACCTGCTTCTACCTCCAGAGTGCTGGGTTTAAAGGCATGTGCCACCATGCTGGGCGCTCCAATACGGATTTTAAAAGGTTTGCTGTCCTCCTCTGAAGAGCATGGAGTCTCTAGCCGGAGTGTTCTTTCCATGAAGGAGTGAATGCCAGCTCTCGAGTTCTTGTGCTGTACATTGTTGTCCACTGCATGTAAAATTCATCCGTGGCTTTGCCCAGGCATCTTCCACACTGTAGAACTCACGGAGGATTAAAGGGCCTTTATCACATAAGTGTCATCAGAACAGGTTATGTCTGGTCCTGGAGGACAGTGTCCAGTGGGAGAGGAATGGAGAGCAATGGGAGGGGAAGCGTTTTCCCCACTGTTCTTCAAGAACCATTTACCAACAGTTACAGTGAGCCTCCCGTTCTCGAATACACTTTTAAGAGCTGGAAAATAGACCCTGATTTCACTTTTTAGTGGTTGGACCACTGAGCCACTCCTCCCCACCCTTAGGCAAAGTCCTGGGAACCCTTCTACCACTTGGAAAGATGGAGAGTGAGACAAGGTCAGGAATAATAAAAGAATTAACGCCTGGAGCAATAGCTCAGCCTTTAAGAATGTGTGCTGCTGGGCATTGGTGGTGCACACCTTTAATCCAAGCACTCGGGAGGCAGAGGCAGGCAGATTTCTGTGAATTCGAGGCCAGCCTGGTCTACAGAGCGAGTTCCAGGACAGGCTCCAAAGCAATACAGAGAAACCCTGTCTCAAAAAAACAAACAAATAAACAAAAAAAGAAGGTGTACTGTTCTGCAGAAGACATAGTTAGGCTTACACCACCCACGTAACATGGCTCACAATTCTTGTAACCACATCTCCGGGACATCTGATGCCCTCTGCTGGCCTCCACAGGCACCTGAATTTGTACACACACACACACACACACACACACACACACAGACACTGACATATACTGACACATAATTAACTTTTAAAAAGAGAGGTAGCATTGTCCTTCCCTCCACCCAGCCCCAACTACCAGAGAGTCTCAAAGGTAATGAGTTTCTGTGAGTTCAGGGAACTTTGCAATGGGCACATATTTTCTTGCTAACTCTGGGCACTTTTAAAGAGGTTGGCACCTGGGATGTTTTTAAAGAAAAACTGAGGGAGATTTCATGAGCTTTTCTGAAGCAACAGTCCTTTGCTACTGAGATGAGGAACAGAACAGAGCCAGTCCAAGGCCGACAGTTACTGGATGGATGTCCTTGTTGGACTAGTCTCCTATAAGGTCACAGTAACCTTCCCCCACCCCCAAGACTATGGTTCTGAGCTTGTTCTCTCCTGTGGCATGTGCATATGAGAGTCCCCTGCTTCCTAGCCTCAGCTTCACCAATTATGTCTTTGTCTGTTAGGATTTGACACAAGTGACCCCATTTTGATATCTTTATCCCACTTATGCTCAGGTTTATCTGTGTTTCAGACAATGGTGGGCAGACTCTGTCTGGGGGCAACAACTGGCCGCTTCGAGGAAGGAAATGGTCCCTGTGGGAAGGAGGCGTCCGTGGAGTGGGCTTTGTGGCAAGCCCCTTGCTAAAACAAAAAGGCGTGAAGAGCCGGGAGCTCATCCACATCTCCGATTGGCTGCCGACGCTGGTGAATCTGGCCGGGGGGAGCACCAACGGAACCAAGCCTCTGGATGGCTTCGATGTGTGGAGAACCATCAGGTACCTGCATGTGTTTCCCGTTCTTTGCCAGCAAATTAACATGGTTGATGGAGAATAATCATTTCCCTTTGTAAGATAGCGGTTCAGCTGAGACATACAGGGCCACCCTGCCCTTAAAAAAAAGAAATGAAATGCCTTTCAGATATTGTCATTATGTATTTGCATGTCATTATGCATTTGGGATTTGGGTTCTGTGTTTTATACAAAGTACAGGATTCTCCTGTAGAAGGTCTTCAAAGCTGAGAAGTTTCTCTCGGTGCAGCATAGAGCGTTGCTGGCCTCCTGCAGGATGCCCGTGCTTCTGCCCTTTGCCATCTAGAAAAACGGAGGACTCAACAGAGAAGAAAGCGTAGGAGGATAGGAGGCTGGAGACCCTGTGCAGTCTGTACAACTAAGCTTAGTCCCACTCACTAATGAGTATTTTATGAGTACCTACTATGTGGTGCTGTGTCCTAGGTTCTGGAAAATTAGATGTAAGCAACTCAGGCAAAACCCTGGCTCTCAAAAAGCTTGTATTGTGGCGGGGTGGGGAATAAGGACATTGAACCAGGAAAAGAAGAAAGGCGATTTCAGGTCCTTTGGGAGGAGATAAGAATGTGAAGGAAATAAATGGTGTGTTCTGAGAGCGGGGACCCCATGCAGGAGCAGGGCCTGTCCTCAGCTGTAGAGGTGGCAGCATCCTGCCTGTCTTACTCCTCCCACAGTGTGAAAATGTGGCCTGTGAGGAAGGGAGTCACGTGCCCTGGGCGATGGAAGGTGCTTCCTTCGAGTATGGGCTGGAAACCTTGTGTGTGGCATCTGTAACTCTGCATATTTTATGACATGTATATCTGTGGTTTGTACATAAAATTACATACATTGGAAATACTGTTTTTGCTGACGCAACACAATGGATGGTACTGTGTTTCTCAAGCCCGTCGGTGTGACGAGCTCTGTTTGGGGGTGGTTGGTTGAGTGTCCTCCTTGTGAGCCAGCGCGTATTTTTCTGTTTTCATCTGTGGTTTTCCCAGCTCAAAATAGTGACGTTTCGGGTTCCTATTCAAAGGAAACACGCAGCAGAGGACTCAGGAGTGAAGAGCCATGTCGTATGTGCTTCATTGAAAGGCCATGTATATGTGTGACTGTTGTGGGGGCAGGGGACCACAACAGACTCCAGTACGAGCAATGTGGCAGCAAGATGGGTGAGGAGCACAGATGTTCTTTTACACTGATTTGTATACATTAAATGATTCTGCTTCTTGAAGTTCCAGGTTTTTCCCTGGGGAATGTATATAAATTTAAGGCTCACATTTCAAGCAGCAAAATTAAAGGACTGACCCATTTTTCAACTTTTCAACTAGAGATAACCCTTAAAAATGCTGGGTCTAAGGTCACCCATGCATAGCCAAAAAGTCACACTTGATTTTAAAACTTCTCATTTAACATCTTTATTAGTAGGTGTTTGAAGTCAGTAGGCTCAAAACAAAAACTTCCATTAAAGATTAAAATGAAGTTACTTAAAAAAAAACACAACCTCAGTTTGACCATTTCTGAAACAATATACAAAGGCATGTTGAGAAAAACAAGGCCTTGTTGTATTATGTCTGGGAAGAAACATCTCTAAGTAAAAATGCTTATAATAATGAAAAGCCCACAGCACACAGACAGAGTGGGCAATCCTGGTTATCTGTCAGCAGACCGAAGAACGTCCCTGCCACTCAGTCCGTTCTTTCCTCATCCTGGTCTGCACGTTTTCTTCTTGGTAGATGATGGTAGAGATGGTGACTGGCTCTTTTCTCTGTCCTGCTCTCTTCATCACTGGGAGTGGATTAAGCCCACAGCTGGCAGGGCAACTGTGTCTGTCACCTTTGTACCAGGGATCGAAGCTGCAGGTAGCGGTGTCTCCGGGTCACTGACCCCAGGCTTCATCACCCTGGTTTTCCTTGTCCTCTCAAGGCTGTCTGGAGAGGGAGCTCTGTGGTATGATGGTCTGTAATCTCCAGCCAAGCGTAGCCTGTGGTACTGACTTACCTGGCTGTGTGCTACCCTGGCATCAGTAATCTCCATCACTTGGGCCATCTAGCACAGGAAGGCTGGCACATGAGGTGGTCACCGGGACGTTGCCATATAGAGTGTGAGGGACTGTAGATGCGGATGGCAGGGGAAGCAGCTGTCGTCTGTTACCTTCAATTGAAGCTCAGTTGGTGCCACCCTCCCCTGCGGCTCCCCACTGCCTTCCCCTCCACCACTCGGCCTGCACAGCCTGTCCATCTCCTGCACCTCGCACTGCCTCCTGGGTTGTCCTTTATGTTGGGCAGGAGCGAATCCATCTTCCTCGGTGTCACTGCTGTTGCTGCAAATACAGTCATTTCTTTTTATTTTTTATTTTTATTTTCCAGTTTAAATTTAGATAAGAAACAAGGTTGCTTCACAAGTCAGTTCCAGGTCCCTCTCCCATTCCCTCCCCTCCTCCCGTGCCCTCCCCCCACCCCCCCCCGTTATCCCCTCATTCCCCCAGGGAGGGTGAGGCCCTCCATGGGGGTGTCCATAGTCTGTCATTTCATATAGGGCAGGGCCTAGACCCTTCCCCAAGAGTTCAGGGTGAGAGTGCACCTCACATTGTTCTATGGGAGTCCAAAGTCCGTGTGTATACTTGGGATGGGTACTGATCTGCTGCCCAAGGCTCAATAGGTTCCCTAGGCCTCCTCACTGACACCCACATTCAGAGGGTATTGATCAGTCCCATGCTGGATTCCCAGGCTGATGCCTGGGATTCAAGAGTTAACCTTTGTCTGGTCAGCTGTTTCTGGGGGTTAAACCAGCCCAGTCTTAATCCCTTTGATCATCAGTCCTCCCTCTCTGTTACTGGCTTTCTTGAGTTCAGCTCAGTACTTAACCAGCCACTAAATGAAGTTTCTGTTTCCCAGACTCTCTGGCCATAGGATTGTAGGCTGGCACTCCCCAGATCTATGTCTAAAATCCAAAGATGTCTGTTCCACTATGTTCATAGCAGCTTTATTTGTAATAGCCAGAACTTGGAAGCAACCTAGATGTCCCTCACCCAAAGAGTGGATAGAGAGAATGTGGTACATCTACACAATGGAGTACTATTCAGCAGAAAAAAATAATGGAATCATGAGATTCGCAGGTAAATGGATGACACTAGAAGAAACCATCCTGAGTGAGGTAACCCAGTCATTTCTTATACTGAGTCACCTGACTGTTCCCCAGACCTTTGTGCTAAACCGCCCCACCATCAAATATACCACGCCAGGCTGCACCCCTGTGTGGTGCATGGCTTATTGACTGCGGTGCTGAGAGTTGGGGGACGGAGGAGCCTGTTTCACTGCTCTTAGTTGTGATGAGAGGGGGCTGGCACTCATCTCTACTACCCGTTACTACCCAGGCTGCCTGGGCCCTCTGGGTTCTGCTCTCCATGTGTAACTGTTTATTCCTCCACAAATTTGTAAGCAGCTTGCTATTGGCCAGAAAAGCCTTAGCACTGACTTAGCAATCAAGCAACACATTTTGTGCTATGTGTATTAAGTCCCATAAAAATATGCCAAAGGGCCACAACAGAACACTTTTTCTTGCCATTGCCAACTTGTGACAGTTTAAAAAAATTTACCTAGAAATTTGGAAATTTCTTTTATAAACCCAGTATTTGTCCTTTAGAAGGTTCATTTCAGGGGTAGTGACATAGTTCAGTGGTAAAGTGATTGTTTAGTTCAATCCTCAGTAACACACATACACACACACACACACCACAACATGCGTATGCATGTACACACACAAATACATATTTTCATCATTTTCTGTATATTTTCCTCATTTAACAGGTTTGAAATTAATTGTGCTAAAGAAAAAGAATCATTTTATAAGCAATTGTTATATATAACAAGTTTCATTATGTCATCCAGCTACTCCTACCAAGTATTATTTGATGGAGGCTCCGTGATATGCTAAACCATTGCCTTTACTTTCAAAAAAGATTTGTCACTTATTTTTATTTCATGTGTATGAATGTAAATTCACTGCACGTGTGTAGTGTCCATGGAGATCAGAAGAGGGCATCAGGTCCTCTGGAATAGGGGTTAGAGTTATGAGCTGCCGTGTGGGTGCTGGGAACAAATCCCAGGTCCTTTACCAAGCAGCAAGTGCTCTTAACCACTGAGCTATTTCTCCAGCACTAGCGTTAAATGGTTACCTGATGTTTTTAATAAATAATACTAAAATGAACTATTCCCACATAAAATCTTTGCCTGCATTTAGGGTTTTTCTTTATATATAAATTATTTTAAATTAATTGTGTTAAAGAAAAACGACCACTTTGTAGACAATGGCTATATATAATAATACTGTTCCCCAAGAAGGCTACCCTCTTATTGCATGCAAATAGGCATTATGAATGCAAATATGCATTTTCATCACAGCCTTTCTTATGTAGTCTTTGGAAAGGATCTTAAATGTTTTTTTATTTGTATTTTCTCTTTTGAAAGTATGCACTTTTACTTTTCTGGAAGTATTTTGTGTCTGTATCATGTACATACCTGCTTCACATGGAGGTCAGAAGAGGGCATCAGATCTCCTGGCACTGGAGTTACACGTGGCTATAAAGCACCACGTGGGTGCTGAGAACTGAACCCAGGTCCTCTGCAAGAACTTCAAGTGCTCTTAACTGCTAAGCCACCACCTCACAACTCAGGACTTACATGGAAGGAAATCAAACCACAAAGCTCAGAAGAAAAATCTAAATGAATACTAAGCACACATCTGAGAAACAGATTTCTGAACAAAGACAGCGAGAAAAGCTGATCTCACTGAGAGACATAAGCAAGTCAGAGTTAGTACACATAGGAAAATATGAAAAAAACATTCTGGGCAAGTCTATATCTCACTTGTTTCCTTAATACAAAAAGTTAAAACATTTTATGGTGAAAAGGGAATAAAAAACATCTGAGCACAGCAACACTGACTTCAGTCCATGTTTATCAGTAACTTTAAATGGGACAGTTACTGAG